GCGTTGTACGTTCGGTGTGTCTGGTCCTCCACCTTGCTCCCATCACCCTTCCGGCCCTCCACAGACCCCTTCCTCTGTCCGGCGTACAGACCTTTTCCTCTGTCCGGCGTACAGCTCCAGATTGTCCGTCCTCACATTCTTGGCCTCCGCCGCTATCATGCCCTTCACCGGCACAGCCACACCCACACCAGCGGACGGGCGGAGGGGGATGGTGGGCTCCTCCTGCTGCTGCTGTTGCTGGACGGTGGGCGACTTGACCTTGAGAGAAAGTGCGTCCCGCTGCACATCCGTCTGCTCCTTCACGAGGGGCGTCGACCATTATCACGTCACCGTCTCCATCCACTGGGGTCATGTGCTCGTCATGCGTATTGTCGGTCGGACGCATTGGTGACATTGGCGTTGGCCAGGGCCGATGGTGGGCGACAATGGCGATAGAGATGGTGCACGGCATGGCGAAGGCCGGACCGGTGTATGCGGCGTCGTGGGTGAATTGCCATAACGGTGGCGGCATTCCAGGGTGGGAGGCGTGCTGGTCTTCGTCAATGGCGTGGCACGAGAGAAGTTACCAAGATGAGAATAAATGAAGCTGCCGAAAGGAAGTGGCACACTATAGAGCCGCCGATTGGCAGAGATGGGAATGCGTGAGAAATGAGAATGAGATGAGAATGAGGATGAGATGTACGGTACACTGTAGAGCGGGTCCTGAATGCCGTCGATCTTGACCGCCCGGTCGCCGCCGTCGAGCTTAAGCGCCGTCGATCTTTAAGCGCCGTCGATCTTAAATGCTGTCGGTCTCAAATGCCGATGGATTTAGGGTTTGGGTTATAGGGATAGGGTTCGAAAGCCGTAAATTGGCTCGGAAAAGCTCAACGACATTCGCAACGCCCGGAAAGAAACAATTTACTCGCTTGCCCTCGCGTTTCACAAACCCGAACGCCATCACACGGACGAACATTCAGCTATCCAGACCCAGCCCAACGACAAAAGTCACTGTCTCCCCCCATCAACGCTAAGATTACACGACCACATTCGGCCACTCACTATTCGCCAATCTGCACCCCACAGTTAGCCGCCATCATTCGCACATGCGACTCGTTCAGCGACAGGGCGAACCGCCGCATCATGCCGCCGTGCCGCACACTCGAGTCGAGGTGCAACCGCAGCGACCACATGGTGAGGTCGCTGCTGTCGTCCTCCTCTCCCTCTCCCTCCTCACCAATCACTTCTGCATTATCATCTGCAGTTGGCGGGGGTGCGTCGTATGGCGAGGCGAGGCGGTCGGGCGGCTGGGCGTCGAAGCGGAAGAGGAAGACGTGCTCGGTGCGGCTCGTCTTGGTTAAGCGACCTGCGCACACACGCAGACGATAGACACATGGAGTTGGTGTGTCTTGAGGGGGAGTCTAGACGTGTGTGTCGTCATTTACCCTCTGCAGTGCGGCCAAAGCAGAGGAGTGGGGGATGGTGGCGCCGTGTTGGCTGTGGTGGGCTCCAGCAGAACCAAAAGCTGGCAATCAGGGCATACACAGGCACATGCACCAACAACTCTGACACACACACATAACACAGTACAGGTGCAAGCAAGAGGGATCGATGGAGCTTTCCTGCCCACCCGGGTTGAAGACGAGATCAAAATGGTCCTTGTGCAGGATCTGATGTTCTACCTGACACCCCTTCTCGTCATCGTACCGCCTCCTTCCCTCCGCAACATTGTCTCCGCCACTGTCCCCCTCCCCCTCTCCCTCACTCCACCACACACTCCTGGACGCACCCACGGGGTGCATCATGGCCTCCAGGTACACCGCCTGCTTGTCACAAGTGCCCGCCTGGTCGTCATCGCTTTTCTCGTCCGTATCACTGTCGTCCTCTGCAGTGACGAAATCCGGCAACCGGCTGCAGCTCAGCCGAGAAACAGCGATTCTGACGCACACAGACAGACAGACAGACAGACAGACAGTGACCAGCTACCTACACTCGTTAGGGCATGCACCGCAGTGTGTAGGTGCCTATTTACTTGGTCTCTGGGTCTTCGAAACACACGTACATGCCCAGCCCCTTGACGAACTCCTTCACTCCCATCGTGGCAGTCGGTTCGGGCACATCGCACGTTTGTGCGAGCCGGTCGGGCCCCCGACCGTTGCGCAACGGGAAAGGGGGAGGCGGGAGGAACAGCGGGGGCGACGGAAAGACTTCAGCCATATCGGCTGCACCGCACCCATAGAGAGAACACCACACAGAGGAGGGAGGGAGGATGAGCCATCGACATACAAGGGATAGGTCACATACTTACCGGCATGGATCTGGATGCAGAGTGTGTGTGGAGGGCCCTTTCTCTCCTCCGGGACATCAACATCACTGGCGCCAATCACCATCGCCCTCTCTTGGCCTTGTTGTTGTTGCCCGTCGGCCACCGGCTCTCCCCGCCCGTCTGCCACTGACTGCTCTCTCTCAGCAGGCACATCCGGGGGGCTTTCAATTTCCAGCGCAGCATCCGTCAGAAGAAGCACGTCGCTGTCAATCTCGATGTCGCTGCCCCCGCCACCATCACCCTCCCCTTCTGCATCCTCTCCCAGCAGGCCCTCGTGATCGTCTTCTTGCACAGTGATGCCCAAGTACTCCATCGATGGCGACAGACGGATCGCCAGCCGAGAAGACAATGGCTCGTCCGCCTCTCTAAAGGGGTCCGTCGGGTCGTCAAAATGAGCTTTGACAGATATCTCCACGATAGGCAGCCACCGGAAGCACCGCCAGCCTCCATACCTCCTGCCAGCGTCCCTTGCTGCCGCAGACCTGTCGACTCTTGGCCGCTTGGCACACCTGTTTTGCGGGCTCCTTGTGGGTGGGAAGGTGCCGGGGGGCGGAGGGATGAGCCTCTTGTTGCCATCGCCAGGGTGGATCCATAATGCAGCTGAGAAACGGCCTGGGACGTCACAGGATCGAATGGGTGCATGGGACGGTTTGTGCGCTGTCACTTTCCCTCGCTGCAGCTATCCGCCTCACCTGTCCTGTGTTCACCCTCGACGAAGCAATCCATCACGCGCCAGAGGTCCATCTGCCACCCACGACAAAAGAGGAACGGGGCTCGTCTTGATCGATCTACATCGGTTCGTCCTTCTTTCCTTCCTTCCTCTCCTGACCTTTGTCCTCAGCTCGATGGTCTGCTCCCCAATCACCGCCTGATCTGAGCCAGCGTCAGCGTCAATCACCGCAGCTTCATTTGAGGGCCCAAGTGACAGCATGGCACGCTGCCCATCATCTCTCTCGCGAGCTGCAGTCGGTCTGTCAGCAGCACCGTTTCCGTCTTCTTCTTGGTTCGATTGGAGCAGCGCTGACGGGTCGGTGACCATGTGGCTTGTCCATTTTGCCGCCCATCGCGCGATCACCGAGCGGAACTGGTGCGTCTGGGTCCTGTACCAGAAATGGTGGTTGCTGAAGCACCTGATGTAGTAGTGCCGCCATGGCAGAGAGCACACGAATCTGCCACCAAGCTCCTGCTGGCAACACACGCTCCACAAGTAGTCACTGTCAGAACCTGCATCAACCACCAGCAACACAACACAACAGAACAGCACACGTGTTGGATGGATGGATGGCATTGCGCATGCTGACTAACCGACCAGCGGTGGCGTCTCTGAAGCGCCTGTTGACGCGCTGCAGCAGATCCAGCTCATAGCCAACCAGAAAGGTAAGCACCTCCGCAGCAACCAGCGCCTGCCATCAAGACAAACACACTCAGCGCATTCTTCTTTGACTGACTTCTCCTTCTTGCTTCCGTTCCCGTACCTCGTGCTTTGTCCTCCACGGCCTCCTGTCGCCTCCTCTGGCCACCTCGCCATTCATCGCTTTCAATGAGCGAATGACTCAATCGAACAACGACAAGATCTGCCTCTCATCTCTTCCCATTCTCA